TTATGTCTCCAAAGGTGAAAAAGGATATGTTCCTAATTATAATACTTTGATAAACTTAAGAGTCGATTATTTTCCCAACAAGTTATAGGGCCAAAACCCCCTCCGAAATTCAAAGACAACAATAAATTTACTGTAATACTAATAAAAATATATTCCATTGGTCCGGGTTTTGACCTTAAATCAACAAAAAATGTTTTGTTTACAGGCATGTTTGTATTCGGAAATTGCCATGGAAGACACAGTAGCTCAAATCATCTTTAGGAGGTTTTTTTTTCACCCCCATTTTTTCTTCTCCAGAAAAAAAGAAGCTTGTTTTTTTTAAAATTTATATCCAAAAGGCTTATGATCCAGCCCTAACCACCTTTATTATTTTTTGGTGTTTCCTTTGCCAGAAATTTAAGGATGGCTTTTTTAGGCGGCCCTGGATTCTTTTTATTTGGGGGTTTGGGGGGTCCCCCCCAAAGTTTTTTTTGGGGTCAAAGGGATTAATTTTTTTTTTATTATTTAGGATTTTTCGAAAACCATTAAGGATTAAAAGTCCCCTTTTTTTTTGGGGGGGGGGGGGGGGGGGTTTGTCTTAAATCCCTATACTGCTCCTTCCTATTACAAATGCTCAAGGCACTTGGGGGGTTGGGGGGGGGGGGAAGAAGTGGGCCACCCCCTGAAGAGCCAAATCTAGAGGTCCAGTGCAATTTTGCAGATAAGAAATAAAAAACTAACAAAAATTGGTTCCAGCACAAGGAAACAACTTGCTTTCTGGTATAAAATTTTACACATATGCATTTATATTATATGTATAATACTTTGTTTTACGTACACCTTTGTGTCGATTAATTTTTAAGATGTGATGTCTTTTTCATTGTAATGCGCATTGAGCATCTTTTAGGAAATGGAAATGCGCAGTATAAATGCTATTTATTATTATTATTATTATTATTATTTCTATTTCAGGGCGGTTAGACTGAAAGGAGTGGAAGAGACGTTTTCAAGCAAAAAAAAAAAGTTGAAGTTCTTAATTCTTGAAACTTGCAACTTTACATCAGAGAGGAGCAAAACAGATAGGGTAAGTGTTAGTGTAACATTAGTTAAAGCCTACAATACAAAACTGTATACAGTGGAAGAGACGTTTTCAAGTCAAAAAAAGTTTAAATACTTAATTTTTGAAACTTGCAACTTTACCACAGAGAGGAGCAAAACAGATAGGGTAAGTGTAACATGAGTTAAAGCCTACAATACAAAACAGTATAAAGTTTGGAAAAAGTATAGATCTACCTTAAGATCATCATCCCGAGCAGTCACAGTGGTGATTCCACCAATGGGCTGAGATTCATTCACTGTCCTGTCTGGACTGGCTCCAATAAAGTATGGTGCGCTGTCAAGATCAACGATGACTTCAATACTGCAGTCGTTCGCCTTCTCTGCAACAACACGCTGATCGCTCACGCGTATCCTGAGCTATAGACAAAAGAAATAGAGAAAAGGAGGAATAAGATGTCGTGGGTAGGACAAGCCTCCTTCCCTACCTACCTCTCTTCCTCCCTCTGTCTCTCTCTCTCTCTTTCTCTCTCTCTCTCTCTCTCTCTCTCTCTCTCTCTCTCTCTCTCTCTCTCTCATTCTCTTTTTTTATTCCTCCAGGTCATAGTAAAATTGCGCGCACGCACACAATGGACGAACACACATACAACACATACATACGCAGACAAGCACACGTACACATATACACAAGCACACACATACATACACACACACACACACACACACACACACAAACACACACACACACACACACACACACACGCACACACACACACACACAAACATAAACACAGACAAGCACAGACACATACACGCATACAGAAACACAGCCACACAGGTGATACCCATTAAATCGAAACCACTTTAACTAAAGGCATAAGAACTTCCTGCATTGATAAGAGACCTGTAAAAGAAGAGCTTTCCAGTTCACAGAACTGACTTCTATGGTAGCAACTGTCACACACTTTTATCATTGTTCCATCACTACATGGCACTGTCACACACTTTTATCATTGTTCCATCACTACATGGCACTGTCACACACTTTTATCATTGTTCCACCACTACATGGCACTGTCACACACGTTTATCATTGTTCCATCACTACATGGCACTGTCACACACCTTTATCATTGTTCCACCACTACATGGCACTGTCACAACACACCTTTATCATTGTTCCATCACTACATGGCACTGTCACAACACACCTTTATCATTGTTCCATCACTACATGGCACTGTCACAACACACCTTTATCATTGTTCCATCACTACATGGCACTGTCACAACACACCTTTATCATTGTTCCATCACTACATGGCACTGTCACAACACACCTTTATCATTGTTCCATCACTACATGGCACTGTCACAACACACCTTTATCATTATTCCATCACTACATGGCACTGTCACAACACACCTTTATCATTGTTCCATCACATGGCACTGTCACAACACACCTTTATCATTGTTCCATCACTACATGGCACTGTCACAACACACCTTTATCATTATTCCATCACTACATGGCACTGTCACACACTTTATCATTGTTCCATCATTACATGGCACTGTCACACACATTTATCATTGTTCCACCACTACATGGCACTGTCACAACACACCTTTATCATTGTTCCATCACTACATGGCACTGTCACAACACACCTTTATCATTGTTCCATCACTACATGGCACTGTCACAACACACCTTTATCATTGTTCCATCACTACATGGCACTGTCACAACACACCTTTATCATTGTTCCATCACTACATGGCACTGTCACAACACACCTTTATCATTGTTCCATCACTACATGGCACTGTCACACACCTTTATCATTGTTCCACCACTACATGGCACTGTCACACACCTTTATCATTGTTCCATCACATGGCACTGTCACACACCTTTATCATTGTTCCATCACTACATGGCATCGAACAGAAGAGCAAGAGCCCAGCTGTGCTGGATCGTTTTGTTTAACACTTTGCCATCACAAGGCTCATACAGTAAAAACCCTTGCCATCAAAGGCAAAGGCATTTTGGGGAAAATCCAATTAAACAGGGTGGTAAACATTGCCGATCGGCGAGATGTGGAGGCAAAGTGTTAAGTAAGTGTTATGTTTGTTTGTGTCGTCCGGCCAAACTGGCAAATATTGTAACCCCCATTCTCTACCAGTCCCTGGCACATTAATAAATAAATCAAAAACTTCCTGTTTACATCACCCCTGGAGCAGCACGACTTTGTCATGTCTGTATCTTTGGGATTTCTTATGTGGTAAGCCTTATTTAATCAAAACCCAAAAACACAACAGTAAGAGTTTTAAGGAACTTGCAACACAATAAGGTCATACAAGAGCGGAAGAATAGATGTGTTACAAGAGAGTAACCTACACAAAAAAGAAAGAGGAGAGATAAGGGCAACAGATTTTTTATAGGAAAGAATGAGCAAACCACACAAGAGCACCCACAAACCTCCCACGTTGCTGGGCCGACAACAACATCAACAACACCATTATTCCCTAACTTACATTGTAGCGGGGGATGCTGCTTCCCTCCAATGACTGGAACAGCCAAAGTTGCCCTGTTCTTGGCTGCAGGAAGAAGATGACGTTCGTGTCATTCTGCACTGGCGGGTCAACTGAGAGGATGCTGAACGCCACTGGGTCCTGTACCCAAAAAAACGTAGAGGAGAAAGTATGAGTTTTTAAAAGTTTTAATAAGTGTTTAACGGCACTTGCAACACAATAAGGTCATATAAGTACCAAAGATTAAAGGTGTTACAAGAGAGTAACAAACACAAAAAAGAAGGAGGGGAGATAAAGACGATAGATGTTTGATAGGAAAGAAGAAGCAAACCACACCAAGCACCCGCAAACCACCTACAAAGTACGAGCAATTTAAAAAATACGGCGGTCTTTTCTAAAAGACGTAAGTTTTTATTCAGAAGAGTTGAGTTGAGTTGAGTAAAGCAGGGGTCTATGGTGCGTCGACAACTTGTTAGCCACCTATTTTGCCCAGAACAACTTATAACTATAAAGTAACACGAAAAAGATGCAGAAGAAGTGAGGAACATCAGATGGCCCATTCTTTTGATAGTCTTTGGGACACAGTCTGTCAATTGTACAGTCAGACAGAAGCGGTCAGAGCCTGTGTACTTTATTCGGGGTTGAGCGCTATATAAATGTCATTTATTATTATTATCAATCACTCAGGTACATTTGCCATGATAATCACTTATAGAATAAACCGTTGATTTATAAATGATAAAGTAGTCCACTTTTTTTTCAAGTTATAATCTATCCTTCACAGATGCTTCAACATGAATATCTCAAACACTGATTCGCCCTCATATTACCTTTGCCACTGAAAGATTTCCTGGACTTTGTTTTTAAATGTTTTTTCCACCCACAAAAGTTCTTCATATGAAAAATCAAACTCTTTCCATTTGACTGGTTTAAGGAAACACAAGGCCAGACCAAGGTGCCTACCGAATCTTCCTGCTGTACCGAGACCGTTCCAATGTTCGAAGGCACCGTTTGGTATTCCGATATCCTAATCTGGAAAAGATTCTGAGTGCAGCTCGGGCCAGACGGATTGCGGTTGACAAAGACAGTCACTTTTCCTACGCCCACCTCCAGGGGTCTGGCGGGGTCGTAGGCTGCCACCTCAAACTGGAACAATAGAAAAAGTTAATTGGACATAGGTATAAAAAATGGAGAGAAAAATGCATGATAAAACTGGGCAAACATGGAGGAAATTTTACCAGCAGCTAGATGGCCTTTAAAGTTGGATGGACAAAATACACAGCACATTTAGGCAGGGTCTGATCATAACTGAGTTACAGGGAATAGGAAAAATTCTACATCTCATCAAGACAAAAGGTTTTTTAAAAGAAACAAAAGTTGAAAAAATATAAGTTCCAGTTTCTTAGTTGCTTCTACAGATATAGAGAAATGCAGCTTCTCTTTAGTTGCAATAGAGACAGAACGTACATTTACCAAAGTGAGGGATTGTAAATGAACGGTCTAGAAAGGGGGCACCAGGTAGACAAGAACAAGTAAAAAGGATGGGAGAGGAAGAGGTAGGGGGGGGGGGTTCCAAGTTCTTCATAAGGATGCACTTACTTCCTGTTACGAAGGACATATTCAAACCAAGAATGACATAAAGAAAATAGAGGTCATTACAACTTCAAATACAACATTACCTGATACGACGTCAAATCATCATAGAACAATGACTTGGCCAGTGTGATATCTCCCGAGGCAGAGTCGATCACAAAGTATGCTGGTGGGGGAGGTCGCATTTGGTACACCAAGGAATTCTGAACAAGAAAAGTAAAGCAGTCATTTACACAGCTTTTTTTTTTTTTAATCTGCTTTAGGTCACCAGATTCTGAGACAATAGACAAACACATTTACTAATAAGTCTTCATCTGGCATTACGCCTGTTTTCTCTAAACACGAGAAGTGGGAGCCCCTAATTGCTACTAAAATCCAGAAAAGCTGAGTCACTAGTTCTGCCCACTGACGACAAGTGTTCAGTGACAATAATTTTTCTTTCCATAAAAGAATCACTAAAAATTTAGTTTAACAATCAAATTCACAGTGAGCAAGATATTTCTTTATAAAATCAGCTGGTGAGCAGTTCAGTTACCAGGGCAGGATGTTTTTCAGTTATGCTGAACTAAAACGCCAAACTGTAACTGATTGGCCAGTCAAAGGAATAAAGGTGAAGTTATGGGAACCTTTGGTTGATGAAACGGTTACCAGTCTCTAAACAAGGACATAAAGGTTAACATAACCAACACATTTGCCTGAAAACCAATACCAAACTTCTATTCTGTGTCCCCTCACAGTGTAATAATAGACTGAAAAGCACTTTCTTAGGGTCAGTTGTATCGGTTCGGTACAATTACAAACATAATAACGCCTTTTTTAACCAATTAAAAAGAATTGCAGCACAATCAACCTCCAACTCAAGATGAAGCGTTCCAACCACTGGGCAGCTATGATTATAACCTGCATTATATAAACAAGCACTGTCAATAGTTAAAAACTTTGACAATGAAATTTGCATGACTTTCCGACACACCAACTGCTCTGCAAGTAGCTGTTAATCCATAATACCTGTATTACCTGTCCTGGGCAACAACGTCATTGCACACCGGACAGGTCCATAAGTGCTCAGTCCCCCCCAGCACCAAAGCCCGCAAGGTACCCATACTGATTGTTCCGGTGGCTGTCTGATTATGTTAATCCATAAGCATTCACAGAGTCATGGTTACTTTTTGTCTACAAATTTGGAGCTTCATCGGAGACTCACACCACTCGTGGTACCAACAACATCAGTGTAAAGTAACACGAAGTTCTCACATGGAAAAAAAGCAGGTATCATTTAGGTGCAAATATAAAACATTTGGAACTTACAGAATTCTAGGAGAAGTAAAAAGGTTTATACCACACACCAACATGGGGCAGAAGCACCTGCAATCCCTCACACAACATGTATTCCCCTTTTTTGGTCTCAGTTTATCGTTACTCGAAAGGTGTTGTTTATGTTGTGTGGTGGTGGTGTTGTTTTTGGCATCATGTTACTAACTCCAACTATTTTCCATCTATCTCTCAATGAAATTCCCCAAAATCGTATCTATAGAAATGTGGTTCATTGTGGAATGTAGGCCTATGTAGAAACTCATGAGGAAAAATTCATAAATTAAAAAGTTATGGGATGTAGAGTGGGGTCACCCCTGCGCAGCTTTGATTCATGGGATTTCCCCAGGCACAGGGGCCTTTATACCTGCGGCACTGAAGGGGTTAATGCATCAGGGAATTTAGAGAAAGACTGGCCTTCCTAGCTTCAAGTACAGATTTCTGACAAGTGATGTTACTTACTCCAGGGGTCAGGTCAGTGTCTACAGCAGCCACTTTGATGACAAAGTCTCCTGCTAATTTGGTGTCATTGATCTGAATAGAGTAGTCTCGAGGAAATCGAGGGAGGGCGCCAATCACTGAGTTCACATTAATTGTGAAGTCCCTGTCAATGCACTTGGCGGGGGAGCCATTGTCACAAGCCTGAATTCGGAGCTGTGGGCAGAATTTGATTTACATTAAAGCATGAGGGCTTATGATAATGATCTAAAGAGCTAATGAGGTAGGCTATGGTACAGAGTGAAACTGTATAGTATGTTTTTGATGCCTAATTTAGAAAAAGTAAAAATGGAAAACTGTTTACCGGAGAATACCCATTTTTACCCCAAAAAAGTTTTAAAATCTGAATGGTCATTCCTTATTTAACGCAACTATCTACTTGTACATCATACAATACAACATTGATGAACAATACAATATTGCACACATACATATCGAAATACTGGAAAACAAAGCATGCTATCCTCTAAAAGTACACTGATCTCATGAAATATTCAATCAAACCATAGGCCTAACAATGTAATGTGATATGAGCACCCAAACCCCCCCCCCCCCCCCCCCCCACCCCCCACCTAAAACAAAAAAACTTAACATTTTGCCGTCACACAGCCAGCAGTACAAAATACCCCATTTGTTCACCCAGCCAGGAGAGCGACTGCAACAGAACAGACTTTTCGGACCTGTGGCAGAACTGCGCCAGGTGACCGGAACTAATGATTTTCACCGGCGCATTATTGTTCCAAGTGACAGCAAAGTACTGAACAGATATATACAATATATATAATTTTTTATTTTTTTATAAATCCAACAAAAACCAAGCCATCCATACTGTGAACTGATTGATGCTTGTCCCCTTCAAAGAGCGTCTGAGTAAGACCTCCCCGGTGGTTGAGTCAATGAAGAAGTACTGAGCTGGGCCAGCCACCAAGCCACGAGCCTGTTCACTCAGGATGCTGTACGAGATCTCATCCTGCAGACAGATTTTTTTAAAACATGAGAGGCGTGCAGACAAAATGAGTTACTTCTCACAATCCAAAAATGGAGATATAAACCAAAAAAATGACACTAGGGTCAAATTGATAGGTTTTCTTTTCATGCCATATTCTTTAACTATAACATACCTTTTATTATTTCATTCTTATAAATTGCAAAAACTTCACCAAATCGTGAGATGTATCTATTTCCATACGGCTGAATCTTCACAAATAAAGATAAAGCAGAAACCAAAAGATGGTAAGCACTAGAATCTACACAGATGGCACAACAGGAATTTTGGGTTGGACAAAACACTCTGTTTTAGTAAGAGTTTTACGGAGGGCACTTTCAACACAATAGGTCATATGTGAGGCAGCGTGGTGGAATCAGGCTCTCGTCAATTTTTGGGCATGTAGAGTTATTGGTATCATCTTAAAGCTTGTTCAATTGTCTTTATTTGGTTGAAAAAAATATCCATTATCTTGAATACAAGTCGAGATATTTGTGAATGAAGGAGTTGGGGGTCACCTGTTTTCAGAGGTAAAATTAGTGAGAAAATGGCCCCCAAAGATTAGTTATTTCCTTAGCTTAAGAGTCTGTGGTAACTGAAAATTTACATTTCTTGTGCCTTTAATCAACGTTTATCAGAAAAATCCACACAGAAATGAGTTCTTTAAAGGGCATGAAAGGTGTTGAACCAAAAAACAAAAATTTGGTATAAAATCACAAACCTGCGGAAAAATGCAAGTTTCTTCACTTTGATTATTTTGACGAGAGCCTGATTCCACCACGCTGCCTCACATATAAGTGCAGAAGATTAAAAGCGTTACAAGAGAGTAACAAACACAAAAATGAAGGAGGGGAGATAAGGATGATAGATGTTGGATAGGAAAGAAGGAGCAAACCACGTACCAGAGCACCCCCCAACCACCCACCAAAACACTCAGAAAAATTCAACTAGGATGTTTATACTCAACAACGTACAAGTCTTCAGCATATGAATAACATGTATAGCAGAAAAAAATAACCTCATGCTGGAAATGAGAACTCAACAGGTCCTCCTGCTACTCAATGAGGTTTTAAAAAAAATTGCAACATGCAACAAAGAAATTACGAGGGGAGTGGGCACCTAAAGGCTATCTTGGCTACTACAAACCCTAGAGAGCCCATATTTTCTGTGAGACATTATGTATCACTGGGGATTTGAAATCGACTGTAAAAAAAGTAGCCTGAATATTATGATTCGGTTGTTATCCCTTTCTATTCCTTCTATTCATTCTTTCAGAGAAGGAGATGGGAGGACAACATTACACAGTGGACAGGAGAGACGATGGGTGACAATCTGAGGAAAGCAGAGGACAAAGAGAAATGGCGAGAGTTGGTTTTCAGATGCAGTGGTGCCCCCATGGTTGCCCCAACCACGGGATAGAAGAAGAAGATTCATTTGTTTATAAAACAAATAGATCCACACTTTTAATCTGGCGAGTACTTACGTTGGGATCAGTGTCAACGGCGGTCACATTGAACACAAGACCCAGCACGGGATGCTCATCATCAATGGAGACGGAGAAACCAGGCATGCTCCAGGAAGGACTGTTCTGGTTGCGTAAGACCGTGAAGCTACACGAGATTTGGCTCTCTCTGTTGGGGCGTCTTGTGTCGTAGCCTTTCACAACGAGCTGCGGGTAAATGAGTTGAGCAGTAAGTTTTAGTAAGAATTTTACGGCACTTGCACGGCAAGAAGGTCAAATAAGATTCATCTCTATTGTCCAGATCCTGGCACATTGGTTTGATGTTTCACCACGTACACACATACACACATACAGACACACACTCACACACGAGCACACACACACACACACACACACACCCACACACACACACCCACACACACCCACAAACATGCACACATACGGATTACGCTTGCACTCACAAACAGACTCACAGCCACATGCATAATATAAATGAACAGTAATATAAACAATAATAATGTTCAGCTGGATACATATTCAGTTTTCCAAGAGTAACTCAATGGTACTCTGATGCGAGCTCTAATAAGTGTATATCTACACCCAAACTCCTATTTGGTCGCTTTTAAGGTCAAGCCGGTTAGCCCATATTTGGGAGTTTCCAGAAATCTCGACCTACCCCAAAAGTAGGCATTGCCTTACCTATAGGAGAAGTTTGGTTTTATATTTATAGGTGTGTTATTTGTCTGGTTATAGAGAAAACTCTCCTTGTTTTTTAAAGAAACTGAACAAGGGACAAAAACTTTACCTTCGATTCTCTCAAAATAGTATTTTTGGGATAGCCCCCTTGTGCTTAAAAGTGACAATTTGTGAATTTACTTAACTTTTCTCCAGCTAACTGATCATACTTAAATTACACCTTGCAATTGATTTTTTTTTTCAGAAGAAGCTATTGCCTAAAAAAAACAGGCAAAAGAAATAAGACCAGGTTAATGCTTTGATATACACAAAGAGCTTTTCAACTTAGTTCCTAAAACATAAGAGCCAAAACCGACGGCAAAGACAGTGCCTTACCGTGAATACGGTGTCCCTTATCGCACTGGTCCTGAGATTCCTCACGAGACTTATCACACCATTGCTGTCCACGCTGAAGAACTCTTGAGCTGGGTAGGTGCCAACAATTTCATAAGCGATAGGACCCTATAGATTAAAAAAAAACACACACAAAAAAACTACATTAGTACCTGACTATGTGCTTCTGTTGAAAAAGACATGTACAATATCAACAGATAAGTGCAACTTAACTCTTTAAACCCTGAGTTTTTTCCACCGTTTCCCAGAGTTTTTTGTCCACAGTCACCTAAACCTAGTACACTATCATTATGTCTCCTTATAACCCCAAAAGCTTGCCTCCAACTTCTAAATAGAGGAAACAAAGGCTTAGTCATTACGAAAAAAACCTGGTTCGAGAATAGTTCCGACAAACAAGCAAAAACTAGCACTAAATAAAACGAAACAGTTGTCACTGGTACTGGAAGCTCCCAGCATCCGATGGGGAACAGGGTTATTACCGCCGGACGCTCCCAGAGTCTGATGGGGTTCAAAGAGTTAATGTTGCATCAAAATGCTCGGCGAAAACAAAGATGACCACAGTGGCCACTACAACTGCAGGGGAAGCTCACTTTTGTGCACAATGAGAAAGGTGCCAGCTAAAGTTTTGATTTTTTTTTTCAACTTCAGCTTCCTTGGAAACAGATGTTCCCTGAGAGTGAGTGCGAAAGTCTAATAAATAAATTGACAAAAGACACGGCATGTCCCTGCAAAAGCTGCAAGAGAAAAGCAGCGAGAAGATCAAATCCTTGTGTTTTGCCTTTATTGATCTTACAAATGTATAAAAATTAGGTCTAGTGAGTCATAAAAGAATTTTTAACCACTTAATGGGATTGTGATGTTCACCAACCCTCCATAAAAGCATGCAGTCCTTCCACAATAAAATGGAGGGTCGTGTTGTCTTTGATGGAGCATCTACAAAAGAGTTTGAGATTCAGGAAAGCTCTTTTAAGAAGCAAAGATGATTGCAAAAAAGACTTGACCCTAAACTTAGATAAATTTAAGAATTTAAGACCAGATCAGAGGAGATTGCTGCACGAGTAGGAGGGAAGTCATGATCAGTCAAAAAGTGGAAATATAAAAATATAATGATAATAATAAATGAGAAATGACATTTATATAGCGCTCAAACCCGAATTAAGTACACAGGATAAAGCAACAGAGCACAGAAACTCAAGCATTTTCTTGCAGACGCTGCCACCAGTGTTCTTCCACTGTGACTGTGATCAAAGAGTGCATACAGCTGTGAGCGATAGCCTCGTTCATCCCAACCTGTCCCCGTGGTTTTATGCACCCCGCATAATTTAGCAAAATTTGATCATTTTTCGCATAATTTCTTACTATTTTCCTTAATCATTCTGTGTTAAGATTTAACAGAATCGCATAATTTCACATTTTTGGGCCCAGTTAGCATAATTTCAGAATTTTTCTTGCATAAAACGACGGGGACAGATCCCAACTCACCAGTTTATTGGGGTCGTTCTCAGTGATAGCCACGTTGATGGGTCCCAGGGGCCTGTTCTCACTGATTGTGTCCCGGCATTGGGCCGGTCCCAGGACGGGAGCCCCGGGATATCCAATGATGGTGATGATGACATTAACCCTGCTGGACTGCTGAGGGACTCCGTTGTCACTGGCAATTACATTCATCTGTTGGAAAAAATAGATGACGACAAATCATAATTCAATAACCCTACAAAAACACATTTGTTTGATGAAAAGCAAGCAATGCAAAGGCAAAATTGAATTCTCATATTGAAGCGCATTTATCTGCTGGATAAATGTACAGCGCCAAAGCACATCTAGTAAATCGCAAAGAATCATGCATCTGCAGGAGAACAATACATAATATTTTAGATTCGTTTTCGTAGAGGTTTTACGGCGCTCGCAACTGCATAAGGTCATATGAGCGCCAGAAGATTAAAGGTGTTACAAGAGAGTAACAAACATAAAAAAGAAAGAGGGGAGATAAGGTTGTTTGATAGGAAAGAAGAAGCAAACCACACCAGAGCTCCCGCCAACCACCCAGTAGTAGATTAGTGCCTGAGAAAAAACTCCGAATACTCGAACAATTTTGACAGAACAGATAGAACATTTGTGAGACAGCGCGGTGGAATCAGGCTCTCGTCAATTTTTGGGTATGTAGAGTTATTGGTATCATCTTAAAGCTTGTTCACTTGTCTTTATTTGGATGAAAAAAATATCCATTCACCTTGAATACAAGTCGAGATATTTGGGAATGAAAGAGGTGGGGGTCACCTGTTTTCAGAGGTAAAATTAGTGAGAAAATGGCCGCTAAAGATGAGTTATTTCCTTAGCTTAAGAATCTGTAGTAACTGAAAATTTACTTGTTTTGTGCCTTTCATCAACGTTTTTCAGAAAAAATTCACACAGAAATGAGTTCTTTAATGGGCATGAAAGGTGTTAAGCCAAAAAACAAAATTTTGACAAAAATTCACAAACCTGCGGAAAAATGCAAGTTTCTTCACTTCGATTATTTTGACGAGAGCCTGATTCCACCACGCTGCCTCACATAATTTGGTTTCCGACCTCATGGTCTTAGTAACTCAAAACAGCCAAAAATGTCGGAGAGAAGTTTGTAATTCTAAAGTAGTGAGATAGCACTCACCGTGTACACGCTCTGTTGCAGAGCAAGCAAGGATTGCCTGACAAGGATGCCTCCTGAAGGGAGGAGCTCAAACAGGCGCAGTGTGTCGGCCGCGCCAGAGGCAGAGAAGGTCACAATGTCCTGAGGAACAGCGTAGCCAAACACATCAAGTCACACAGTTTAATAATAATAATAATAATAATAATAAATAATAAGTTACACTTTTATTTGTCCCAGAAGGGCACTTTGTTTTACAATGGCAAACATACATACATAAATACATAATTATAAATACGTACATACATAAATACATACATGCATAAATACATACATAAATACACACTATTACTAGTATTACACAAATACAGAACAGTTTACAAGCAATGCCACTGTCGGTCGCCACTGTGCAGCGCCCTGTAATTTGAGCTAGGGTTGTCGTGTCTTGCTCAAGGACACACTCCAGTGACCACCCATCTGATCCCCGTGTCACCGACACTTGCTTGACATTGCTTGAGTCAAAACTCACTACTCACTTAGCCACTGGAGTTTATGTGTGTGTGTGCATGTGAGTGAGTGTTTGTTTGCGTGTGTGTGTGATGTGTGCGTGTGCGTGTGTGTGTGTGTGTGTGTGTGTATGTGTGTGTTTGTGCATGTGTGTGTGTGTGTGATGCATGCATGCATGCATGTGCATGTGCCTGTGAGTGTATGTGTATGTGATTGTATGATATGTGATGTGTGTGTGTGATATGTGATGTGTGATATGAATGCATGTGTGATTTCGTGATATGTGATGTGCGCGTCCGATGTGTGTGTGTGTGTGTGTGTGTGTGTGTGTGTGTGTGTGTGTGTGTGTGTGTGTGTGTGAGTGATGTGTGGTGTGTATATATATATACTGATCAAGAACTATCAGATTCAGTCAAGAGAGCCCGAAGAGAAAACTCACCCCTTGATTTCGGTCTGTTGCTTGCACAGTGAAAACACGTTTGCCAACCGGTTCGGTCTCGTTGATGGTGAAAGCCAAATCCCCAACGAACTGCGGAGCGTACTCATTCCTGGCTACAGGAATCCTGACAACAGCAATGTCCATCACATTCGGATATGCCGTGTCATAAGTCCGCAGGTAAAGCTGAAAGAAAATTAAAAGAACTTCATCAAATAGGAACATTGAAGGGGGGGGGGGGATTTAAAACAAAACCGGACGAGATAAAAATCAGTTGAAAAATGTTCAATAAATGGTTAAATATTAAACTACCAACTGGAAAATCAAAACAGTAAAAGCGAAGAATATATAATGGCTCAACCATGGAAATAAGATCTGCTATCCTTAATACTTTATTGCCAACAGCACCGTCATGAAAAAAGCCTTATAACATTTGAGTAGAATAGTTTCAAGAGTTCACAAGCAGACATCGAATATGAACCTTGAGTATTACAAGAGAAACATGTTACAGTCGCTCTACAAAGATAAAAACAACTTTTTTAAAATTGTTCTAAGGCAGTTTTTTTCACATATTTTTTTACCGTGTAAATTTGGAGCACTCCTGACAGCAGACTGTTGGCAATGGAGATTGATCCATTTTGGCGATCAACATTGAAAAAGTAGGCAGCAGATGTGTTGGCTATTTTCTCAATCACAAGTTCACCCTGAAAATATAAAAGGAAATAAAATCATTATCAATGAAACTGGGGGTCTCAAGTCCATGTGAAGGCTTTGGACTTGCCATGACACTGGGTTAGAGCATTGAGTCCTAAGTAAAAATACAATGCCTTATTTTCTTCATTTGGTTGTTTTAGTAAGCGTTTTATGGCATTTGCAACACATTTAGGTCATATAAATACCAGATATTAGAGGCATTACAAGGCAGAAACAAAAACACACACACAAAAAGGAAGAGGGATGAGGACGATAGATGTCTGATCGGAAAGAAGGAGCAAATCACACCACAGCACCCGCCAACTACCCATTGTTTTTTTCTGCAGTCCAGATGGAAAGTATGAATATTAGTCTACACGCCAAACACGCAGCAACACAGAACAGCCTCACAGGGGCTGAGACGGACTATTGGAATGATCTGAGCGGCACAGGGAGCTACAGGGGTATAGTACAGCATATTGTGACGTCGGTGGCCTAGTGGTTAGGCTCTCGGACTCGCAACCGTAAGGTCGCGGGTTCGAATCCCATCAGGGACCCGACGTTGTGTCCTTGGGAAAGGCATTTTACACAAATTTTCCTCACTTCACCCAGGTGGGAATGGGTACTCGGCTATAGACAGCGAAAGATCTTGTCAGTTTGTTAGTGTTTGAGCGCTTAATCAGCTGCTTGCACTGTATGCTTCCTGGGAAGCTGAGAATGTTTCGGAGTGTTCTATGGTCTGCTGGGGTAATAATATAGAGTAAAGCGCATAGAGCCTGCTGTTGAGCGGGGATATGCGCTATACAAATGCTATTTATTATTTATTATTATTATTGTTGTAAAACCCTTGCTAGAATACATGTGTGTCACGACGCGGTGGAATCAGGCGCTCGTCCGTCTTGGGGCATATGGTCTTATCGGTATCATCTTAAAGCCTGTTCTTTTTCCTAGCTTTGAATGAAAAAAATATTGTTCGATCTTGACTAGAAGTATGTTGAGATATTTGCGATTGAAGGAGGTGGGGGTCACCCGGTTCAGAGATAAAATTAGCAAAAAAATTGCAGCGAAAGTTAGGTATCTTCCATAGCTTGAGAGTCCTTGAAAACTGAAAATTTACAGTTTTTGTTCCTTTAATCAACGTTTTTCGGTAAAATCCCCACAGAAATGTGTTTTTAAAAGGACATAAAAGATGTTGAGCCAAAAAACAAAAATTCACCCAAAATTGCAAAATCAGCAGAAAAATGCTGGTTTCTTCAATTTCATTATTTTGACGAGCACCTCATTACACCACGATGCCTCACATATGTATTTTTTAGCTTCTAGTTTTAGTCAGAGTTTACCACACTTGCAACACAATAAGGTCATCAAAGTGCCGAAGATTAGAGGTGTTACAAGAGAGTAACAAATGCAAAAAAGAAAGAGGAGAGATCAGGGCGAGAGATGTTTGATTGGAAAGAGGAAGCAAACCACACTCCTCAATATCTGCAAGAGTTTGTGACCTCAGTGCTTTCTGGTCCTATCTCCATTTTTAATAACAGTGAAAACAGTTCATAACAAAGAGAGAGCTTAAGAAGAAGTCCCATTTTCAATGTTAAAAAAAATTGGAGATAGGACAAGAAAGCACAGAGGTCGCGAGTTGCTGCAAGGTACTAATCACTTACCCTTTGATCCCGATCACGCGCGCTGACTTGGGTATAGATGATCACGCCAGGATCGAGCAGCTCTGAGATTTGATTCAGCAGATATGGATCATTTATGAACTCTGGAGGAAAAGAGTCTCGCAGAACGGTGATTGTCACTGTTGCCAGGTCCGTCTTCCTGATGCTTGAAGCGCGATTGTCCTCAGCTCTTACTCTCAACTTTACAAAAGAAAAAGACAAGAGGGTGAAAATATAAAAACATGGGAGTGTGGACATATTTATCACATTTTTGCAAAGCAAACACACAAAGAAACTTGTTAAGATTTGTTCGCAAGACACGGCTACGCTTTTAGTTTAGTTTTAGTAAGTGTTTTACGGCACTTGCAACACAATAAGGTCATATAAGTGCCGAAGATTAAAGGTGTTACGAGAGAGTAACAAACACAAAAAAGGAGGATAGATAAGGACAATACATGTTTGATAGGAAAGAAGAAGCAAACCACACCAGAGCACCTGCAAACCACCCACAGGCTACGCTTTTGGAAAGTCTACAAAAAGACTTGAGGCCAGCTGTGATGGGAGAAAGTTTATGGACATGGTTTATTTTTCCCTCCCAGTGTTAATACACATAGAAATCTAAATATACTCTGTCACATTTTTAAGTATACACATTTTAAAGCTCAATTTTAAAAAATCCATGTTACCAATTACTTTCAAATTTTCGCACTGAGTTCGTGAAATCCCTGTCACTGGTGAGCTGTTTTCAGATTTCTGAACGCGCAAGTGTTTTTGTTACTGCATGCGCGTTACATGTTTTGTGTTTTGTAAGAATAGCTCGTGGCACGGACTTTATTTGTTTAAAAAAGAAGTACACATCAAAGCTTTGTCACTTTTGCAACATTTCGCCAGTGATAAAACTTGTGTTGTGTAAGTTTCATGACGCAACGCCAAGAGAAAATGTGCGAAATCAGAATGTTGGAATGATCCGTAGAGGTGTCTCCTTATCCACTGCTGCAAGACATTTTAATCAAACAAGAAGACCTGTGTACGTAATAATGGATCGTGAGAAATCAACTGAATCACCCAAGGATCGACCCTGCCGACTTGAGAGAAGAAAAGCTATTCCAAGAGAGGATCTTTTTATACAGTACCCCTGTCGCATCTACGGAATCATTTCAAAACGGCAAGACAAACCAGAGATGAGTTGAAAAACATGTGACAGCACCAGCCTCTGACACTTCCACAACTTGAGATAGCATTGCAGTGCAGCGAATGATTGATTCCATGCGGCGATGATATCAGGCCGTCATCTATGCAAGGGGACATCATACGCGCTACTGATCATGTTACTTTTGTAGACCACCCCCACACTTTTGAAAGTCGGGAATAAACCTGTTAGGTTAACTTTCGGTAATGTTATTTTTTTAGTTTTTTAAATTGATTGAATTAGTATTCCTGAAAATTTTAAGAATATCTGCTCATGGTGAAACTAGCTATTTTCATTTTAACACAGTGTATACTTAAAAATGTGACAGAGTATATAAACAGTAAAGAATGGTAAATAAGAAGAAAAAAAATGAGCATACTGGTAGGCCTATATGATATTGGCAAACACAGAAAGATGGATGGAAGGATGGATAGACAGACAGGAAAACAGCTAGACAGACAGACAGAACAAAGAGCCAGTCAGCCAGCCAGACAGACAGATAGATAGACAGACAGACAGACAGACAGACAGACAGACAGACAGACAGACAGACAGACAGACACACAGACAGACATGCCCCTCAGTAAGCCCCGATATTTTTTACTTGGTCTGGAGGCACAAAGCATTTTGATTGGTCTATCTCCGTCGGAGACATCTCTAAATAGATACTACGCAAACAGAGGTGGCGTCGGTGGCCTAGTGGTTAGGCTACCGGACTTGGGAAAGACACTTTACACGAATTTTCCTCACTTCACCCAGGTGAGAATGGGTACCCAGCTATAGACAGTGAAAGATCTTGTCAGTATGTTAGTGTTTTAGCGCCTATAAATGGCTGCTTGCACTGTATGCTTCCCAGGAAGTTGACTTTGTTTCAGAATGCTCTCAGGTCTGCTCGGGTAATAGTATAGATTGGAAACCGCATAGAGATTGCTGTTGAGCGGGGCTTTGCGCTATACAAATGCTATCTATTATTACTACTCACCACAAATGTCTCCTCTTTCAGCGGATCCTCCTCCAAGGACTTGATGACGGTGATTTGGCCGGTCAGAGGATGGATGTCAAAATATTCCAGCGGCTTCTGGGACACCCCTGTTCTGACCAAACTGTAGTACACCACATCCTGGTGGCAAGGGGAAAGAAAGTGTTTTAGTTTTAGTAAGAGTTTTACGGCACTAGCAACACAATAAGGTCAAATAAGCGCTGAAGATTAGAGGTGTTGCAAGAGAGTAACAAACACATAAAAAGGAGGGGAGATAGAGACCATAGATTTTTTATGAATGTAAGACACAAACACGAAAGTTTGAGGAACAAATTGTACCTACCTATTAGTTCTTTTCAAACTTTGGAACTGAAGGGAGTTTTTGCTGTTTGCTTTTTTTTTGTAGTTTTTTTAAAGCGCACATGATCCGTAGAGGAAGCTGTTCTATTTCCATGATCAGAAACACACGTTGCAAAGATGACTAGCAAATGTCTTTAACACATTGTCTTGACTTTCTTGTTTTTGTAAGAGTTCTACGGCACATGCAACACAATTAGGTCGTATAAATGCTGAAGATTAGAGGTATTGAAAGAGATTAACACACACAAAGAGGGAGGAGAGATGAGGGTGAAAGATGTCTTATAGGAAAGAAGGAGCAAACCACACCAGGGCACCCGTCAACCATCCACTTAATTTTCTTTCGCTCACAGAGGGTAATATTGAAATCTGTGAGGGAGCTTGCAGGAGGGAATTAAAGAGAAGCACAGAAACTTAAACATCTTCACTTATAGTGCCCAGACAAAGTGAGACAGTAGACAGAAATAACAGAGAGAATACAGTAGCATCAGGAATGTGCACTCTACATTACAGTGGACACAAATCAATAAAAATACACAAAAACATATGCACACACACACACACACACACACACACACACACACACACACACACACACACACACAACCACATACACACAACCACACATACCTCACCAACAACAAGAGCGTACATGCAAGTATTAACACAAACATACGACGCTCATTGATACACATACCACATCCAGAGAAGGAAGGTATGAGAATGCATGCACGCACACACACACACACATACACACACACACACACACACACACACACATACACACACACACACACACACACAAACACATCCAAACACACATACACGCATATACATACACACACACACACACACAAACACATCCAAACACACATACACACACATACATACACACATACACACACATACATACACACATA